GTTCAGCATCTTAGCTGTAGAGGGCAGTGTCACTGGCCCTCATATGTGGGATCCGAACCAGGGCCCTCTGCCGTCCCAAGCCAGCTCTTAACCATCGCGCCACTCAGCTGGTCCAATAAGTGTGTTTTATTTTTATTAGCATTTTGCTGTAGCCACTAATGTAAATAAACAATTAAAAATCCAACAACCAAATTCAAGCCACTGTCACAATATCCAATGAGAAAAGAAGAGAAGTGGATGGGGGTATCATGAAACAATACTGGCCATGAGTTGATAATTGTTGAAATTGAGTGAACAGGGATATTTTGGGTCTTCGGAAAAGTCATGATGTATTTTGTCTCTGTTTTTCAAAGGTAATTTATTTATATAAAGAACAAAGATCAATCAATGATATATTGCCCTTTTTGTTTGATAACCTTTTGCCATCTTTCAGTGAGCTCTGAAATTCCTCGTTTATAGAAGGACCTGTCTTTATTGGCAAAAAACTGAACAAGGTGCTGATTTACAGTGTCATCTGAATTGAACATTATACCACACAAGGAGTTCGGAAGAGAGCAAAATAAGTGAAAGTCTGACGGCGCAAGGTCAGGTGAGTATGGTGGGTGTGGCAACGCATCCCATCCAAGTTCCAATAATTTTTGACGGGTGATCAAACTTGTGTGTGGTCTGGCGTTGTTGCGATGGAACACAACTCCTTTACAATTAATAAGCTCTGGATGTTTCTGGATGATGGATTCATTCAAACTGTCCAATTGCTGACAGTACACATTCAAGCTGATTGTTTGGTTCCTTGGTAAGAGCTCGAAAAACACGAAACTTTTAAAATCCCACCACACTGAGAGCATAACCTTCCTCTGATGAATGTCTGCTTTCGATGTTGTTTGAGGCGAATTATCACGTTGAGACCAAGACCATTTGCCCACCACATTGCTATAAACAATCCAGTTCTCATCACCAGTTATCAGTTGCTTCAAAAAAGAAACGTTTTCCTCACATTTAATGAGCATATCGCAGATGTTTATATGTGCCGTCAAACAAACTTCTTTGAGTTCATGTGGAACTGAAAATATTGAGCTTGCTTACGTATCCCAGCTTCTTCAGATGGTCATGAATGCTTGAATGATGAATGTTCAATGTTTCTGCAATCTCTCGTGTCGTGTAACGTGGGTTTGACTCAATCAATGCCTTTATTTTGTTGTCATCAACCTCGGTGGGTCTCCCTGACCGAGGAGCGTCGTTGAGATCAAAATCACCAGCATGGAATTTAGTGAACCATCGTTGGCACTGATGTTCTTGTAGAGCATTGTCACCATAAACTTTATGCAACTTTTCACAAGCTTGACGCACATTCTTCCCTTTATGGAAGTAAAACAGTAAAGTATGGCAAAAATGCAGTTTGGTCTTCCATCTTCTTCTTGTTGTAAAATCTCCAAAACTCAACCAAATCGCTCAATTTTTTTTTTAGAATGAAGTTAGAACTGTCAGCTGTCAAATGACATAGCAATAACATAGATGCAAATGACTCTAGTACTTCCAAAAATGAACTAGTGCCATCTGTTGCAAATATGCATCGTGACTTTGCCAAAGACCCAGTAGAAGTTCATTACATTGGGTTGTTGGAAAAGTCATGACATATTTTTTCTACGTTTTTCGTTGCAAAAATGCATCATGACTTTTCCGACAACCCAGTATCATTGTCTCAAAATATTCAAGTGTATTTTGGTATATGCTTGAAACTTTTCATAATAAAGTTAAATTTAAAAAGAGGGAATAAAAATCCCAGTCAATGATTAGAGGGAACTCTGTGTCTTCGTTGGGGAGAGCAAACGCATTATCACGTGTCTCGGCAATATGGTGACCTTTCGAATACACAGCCAGATTCAAATGGCTTTAGCTCATTTCAAAAGCCAAGTCAGCCTCTTCAAGAAGAAACCTCACCAGCATTAAATTGACCTTTTGTTGTTGTTATCGTTGTTGCTGCTGGAAAAGCCCTTACAATGTCTACAACCAATCTGTTAAGAACAGGGTGTACCCTTCTCTGAGCTAATCTCTCATCTACCTGACATCTCTCTTTCATAGGATGTGTGCTCAAAGGCTGCCACCAATTAGTCTTGTTTAGTGCCACAGGAATACGTTTTGTGATGGCAGCAACTTCAGAGGCCCTCCAACTCGGAAGTTTTAGAAGAAAATGGGGACATCTGGGTGAGAAATCTCACTTTAACTATGAAGGAGAGCCATTTTTTCCCCCCTTTAAATCCTGCAACCATGTCAATATTATTAAAGACTCTATGAATGTTTGAGAAATACCACACGTTAAATGCTTTCATCTGTAGCATCACTAAAGATATATTGTTTTTTCTCTTGAAGTTCTGGTTAGATTCAAAAAGATCCTAGAAGAAAATATTTCAGAATTCTTACCTCTTCAGTTCCCAAAGCCTGAGGCTCCCTGGCAGATCTGGCTGTCAAGAAAGCAAAGAGCAAAATGTGTTGTTTAGGAAAAGGAGAAACAGCATGATACAATAAGAGCTTGAACAAGCAAATGAATGTTCCTGTAACTGGGGTTTGGGGGTGATAGCCAAATGGCTCTAAGAGCAGGCGGGGCTAACAGGTTTATATTTCTGAACCAAGAAGCAGACATTTTGTTAACTTTTTCTTTTAGAAAATATGTCTATGAAAATATGAGTCCCTTTCTTCATGAGCTTCCCCAGCCTGCAAGAAAACATGAACACGCAAAGCTGGCTTGGGATCCGAGGGGAAGCAGAGGCTGTGACCAGCGAGATGAACAAGAACCAGCTTTCCTCCTGACCTAACCCGATTTGCACCCAGCAGGACCCAAGTGGCAGAGACAGAACACGCTCTTGCTCCGAGAGTTAGGGGCAGAGCTGGAGTTCCATTTGTGTGTATCCTAGCACTTTAAGAGGGTAGATTGAACCAGTTAGTAATTATAAAAAGCATCTTTGGCATCCAAAGCTTCTGCAGGGTGGTTAAAAGTAAGGGGGAAGAGGGGTGGTAGGAGAGGGTAAACAGGGTCAAATATATGGTGATGGAAGGAGGGCTGACTCTGGGTCATGAACACACAATGCAATATATAGATAATGTATTACAAAATTTCACACTTGAAACCGATAATAATATTACTAACCAATGCCACCCCAATAAATTTAATACAAATTCAAAAATAAATAAATAAAAGATACCTGTACCCCAAGGCACTAATGACCTCTGAGGATATTGAGCAGATGTGGCTTAATTTTGCCTAGTGCCCAAGGGTGGTTTATATCTAAGGAAGTTCCCACGTACAGGATCTTGAAAAGCTATCCAGCACCCAGCTCAAAGAGAATTGCCTCCATCCCAGGGAGTGCTTCCCCATTCCTATTTTGTTGTGTCTCAGAAGAAAGAGGTACCTCACATTCAGAGTACTATGACTCAGGGTGGAAACCATATTTACATTGGGTCCTAGGACCAAACGAACATCCGTGTCTGTAGAGGTCTCACATTGCTTAAGACTGGCACATATGCTGCAATCTCAACCCAACCAATTATATTCCCAGGTGACTTTAGGGGATCATATGTTTTTAAATGAGCCCAAGTTATTAGAAAACTATTATCTCATTATTATTAACAGCAAAGGGAAAAAAAAGCCAAGGGCAAAAATAACCTATTTTCAGAGCATGAGCCCTAGGGATAACAATGATTAGTGGCACGTGCAAAATAAGCCTGTCCAAGGGTGCTCTGAGTCTTGCACGCTCATACGTTATTGGCGATAGCATACGTCAGCACAACCTCTCTGGAAAGCTATTTGGGATCATTTGTCAAGATCCTCAAATATGTTCTCAAGTTGTCTTAGTGATGCCACTCCTTGACTTTATCAAAAAAATAAAATAAAATAAAATCCAAAATGTAGTTGAAGAATTATTATCAATGCGTTAAAAATAGCCTAAATATCAAATGCAACCTATTAAATAAAACAGAAACTCTACATTATGGAATTTTAAGACAATGGATACAAAAAATTTAAATGAGGAAAAAATGCACATGATATAAAGTTAAGTGAAAAAAAAATAAAGTTTTATATATAGCATGACCTCAACTAAGTTTCTACAATTATATACATATTTACAACTACATATTTTTATAATACATTTTCTAAACTTTTCATATGCAATATTCTTCTAATATACCATATATAATATTTTCTAGTAAATATTATAATCTTTCTGATATATATTTTTCTAGAAAAAAGGATTGGAAGAAGATACTTCAAAATGTAAACAGTATCTCTTTTGTATAGGATAATGGAAGTAGCAGAATTGCTAGATATGCCCCAATATCTGCTCCCTTCTTATTCTAGGCTTATAATAAAATTCTAATCAGCACATGCTTGTCAAGAAGAATTACTTTTCCCAGATTCTCTTGCTGTTAGATGTGTGGCCATAAGTCAAAGTTCGATGGGATGGCTGCAAAAGTGACATGTGCAAGTTTTGGGTCATGCCTCCCCCTTTCCAAATGTCTCCCTTTCTACTGGTTGCAGTGAGGTCCTTATGGCAAGCCTTGTTAGACCATAAAGCAAGGGAAATGTGCTAGGAATGATGGAAAAATGTGATATACCATATTTGCCGGCGTATAAGACAACTGGGCGTATAAGACGACCCCCTAACATTTCCACTCAAAATACAGAGTTTGTTATATGGGCAGTCTATCTGAAGTGTACCTGGCGTATAAGACGACCCCCAACTTGGAGGCATATTTTTCAGGGCCAAAAAATCGTCTTATACGCCGGCAAATACGGTAAGAAGCCTGGGTTCCTTGATGATATTGTGGCATAGAGCTCTCTTACCAGCCCTAAACCACCCACCCTGCATTGTTATGTAAAACAAAATAACCTAGCATTTGTCAGCCTCTATGAAATCAGGTCTGTTACAAATTGTTCAACCAACAACCTAATTAAAAGAAGGGGTCACTCTTATTTTCTTTACAATTTAAGCCATTTTCAAATTTTCAGTAATCACCATGAATTACACTGATCATTTCTTTTACAAAGAAAAATTTAAGCTAAGCTTTGTTTACTAATGTTGAGAAAATTAAGATAGCACAGAATGAAGTTTGGGCAACATGTGCCTTCTTTCCGCATATAAGAAAAAAAATAAAATCTATAGTTTCGAGAAGTAGTTATTACATCATATGCCAGTGCATCAATTACACACAAACTCTGACTTTTTATGACCCTTAATCACATCCCATGGCACTTCATTTGAAGCCATTTGAAAAATTGTTTTAATAAGGGAAAATTGTTTAACTCTAAATAAAATCTGCTTTGAAATCTGCTTGAGAAATACTCTAAAAAAATAAAACTCTAGTCAGTGTGTTCCAGTAGTTCCTCCTTAACCATGGTTGCACTTTCCATGGTCTCAGTTATCTATGGTAAACTGCGGTTCAACAACATTGAATGGAAAATTCCAGAAAGGAACATCTCATGCGTTTTAAATTATGCGCCATTCTAAGTAGTGTGATGAGTCTTGTGCCATCCCACTCCATCCTGCCCAGGAAGTGAATCGACCCCCTTTGTCCAGCATATCCACACTGTACACACTACCTGCTTGTTAATCTCTTAGTAGTCATCTCAATGATTGGATCAATTGTCATGGTATATCCCAGTACTTGTGTTCAGGTAACCCTTATTCTACTTAATAATGGCCCCAAAGCACAAGAGTAGTGATGCTGGCAATTTGGATATGCCAAAGAGAAGACGTAAAGCGCTTCCTTTAAGTGAAAAGGTATGTATGTATAGGAAAAAACAGTATATATAGGCTTGGGTCCTATCCATGGTTTCAGGCATTCACTGCGGGTCTTAAAATGTATCCCCCACAGATAAGGAAGCCTATTGTATATTTGATACCTAGACTTCTAAAAGTGAACTTAGAAACATTCTTAAAAAGTTTTGTATATGCACTAACACAAACCTTTAATTTAAAGGTGTTGTTTGTTCTCCATATAGAATCATAACTCTTATAATAATTTCACTGGCCCAATAACTGTTGACTGTCCATCAGCCAAGCATATACTTTGACTTTACTTTCCCCTGGAGGGGAAACAAGTTTGGCAGAGCTCACATAATCTCTCTGGTCTCCTCTGTGACCAAGGGGCCTGCATGATAAGATGACTGTCCAAGATAAAGGAGTGATATCTACTCAACAAAATACAGGAAAGATATCTGGTCTACTTGGGGATCAGATCTGAAACAATGGCCTCACGAAAGCCGGTCTCTAGCCGTATTAGAATAATGCACCGAGGGTCCTTGAAATCTGCAATAATGTTATGTCAGTGGCATTTGGTGCCTCTTAGAGGATCATTAAAGCCCTGTGCACTTGCTCACAAGACAGTTCACCAGGTAGACTTCAGAGGCTTGTATGTAATTATATATCAGACAAAAAAACATATCTTCCCCCTTCTTCCCAAGAGAATGCCAAATGGTCCTTTTCTCCCCTGTGAATCACAACACTCAACACTAATATGGCTAACCTACATTCAATAACAAAGGCAGGATGCCAGAGTTTCTTCACTTCCCACTCAGGATGACTGTGCCAGTATGTTCTCAAGAACCCTCTATACCCTCTCTTGCAATAATTGAGGCTGATAGTCAAAGCTCTGAATTCTCAGTTTCTCTCCCTTTCTTCGCTTTGCAGGAACATAAGTAAACCAACCCGACAGGCCTAATTACCATGGTAACAACATGCACTGTGATTATGTGTTTGTTTTTTAAAATGACTCACAGATTTGTTCCCCCAGAAGCCCCAGACACACAGGTTTCTGGCTGGTTTATAAAATCTATCCCAAGTTTTCTTGCAAATTTCTTGCCCCTGTTAGCATAATTGGTGTGATAGAAAGTAGAGATTCATCAAATCAAATATGCCCTTCTCCTTAAGGATGAAAAAAAATTCACTTGGTTCCTTAAACACTCCAAGATTAATCAATTTAAAACTCAAGTTAATAATGAAATTAATTTGAGTTTGTACACTGGAGATAATTAATCTGTTCCTAATTTAAATAATTAAGGTATTTCATAATGCAGTTTTAGAGACCCAAGTGAAATAATCAGATGAAATAAATTCAGTAAAAAATATCAAATAAAATAGCCTAAATCTGTAGGTATATGGTTGGTCACATGTAAAGTATTACAAAAAAGAATAAACGTAAGTCTTGATGCCAAGATGTTTTTAAACTAACATCCAAAATAAAGACATTTATTTTTTAAATGCAGACATGAAAGAGGCTTTCCAGACATTTGGAAGAACTATAGGCTACTTCCATTTATTTATTCAGTACCTATTATTTAAGACCCTCTATGTACTAAGCACCATTGTTTATAACTGGAACATCACAATAAGGCTAAGGAAGGCTACTTTCTTACTGGAGACAAAGGCCATGGGCATGGTTCAGTGTATTATCTTCTTTCAGAAAG